CTACCATGGATAGTTTTTGCATTTCACTATTTATATTTTGAAATGTGTCATTACATATTTTAAATTTTTATTGTTAGTATTTGTTTAGATATAAGTTCTGGCTATGTTGCCCAGGCTGGAGTGCAGTGGCTATTCACAAGCACAATCATACATACTATAGCCTGTGGCTCCTGGTCAAGCAGTCCTTCTTCTTTAACCTCTCGAGTGTCTGGGATTCCAGGAATGTGCCACAACACTCAGCTTACATTTTTATATTTAAAGTAAAATGTTCTAACACAGAGACGCATGTAAAGCATAGTACAACACAGGATTAACTGATGTAAATATGTTACCATTTTTTCTCCAGAATATTATCAAATAAAGAAAAAAATACAATTAATGTCCCTGTCTCTTTCTCTTCTCCCCTTCTCCAGAGTTAACTATGTCATTTCCATTCATGTTCTGGTACAATTGGGGATAATTTTTGTATCTTTAAATAAATGTCATCACACTGAATATACTATTTTGCAACTTTTAAAAACTTAAATTCAAACAGTATTTCCTTTAATATATCTGTCAAATCTTCTTGATTATTCCCAAATCATCTCAATGGCATGTTTGTGAGGAGTGAAAGAGTGTGAAATGGACCTAGGTTTGTCATAATAAAAATATCTTACTAAATCCTGTGCTTTGCACTTTTAATGTCTTTTACTCTCACATATAAGTTTTACCAGTATACTCATCTTGCATTAAGAAATGGTCAGATTATAAACACTATGACTTTAAGACATTGACCTTTTAAGAAAATTTTATTTGGAACATTTTTCTTCTTATCTCTAATTCACACTTCAGAGACTGATTAAAATCTTCTTGCTAATTTCACTTGCAAACTATATCGCTATTACTGGTATTTACTGCACTTAACCTTCACCTTTCTGAAAGTAACATTAAAGTGTTATTTGCATAAATGAAAATCATTGCGTTTGAATGCTGCCCTGACTGTATATACTTTAACCACTTCTCCATAAATGACATTACAAAAACATTGTTGAGAAAATGCCATTTTAAAAGGCTATTGAAATATTTTTCCAAAATAAATAAACTACTTTTGATTTTCATGTTACAGATGGCTCTTCATACAATGTAAATTCAATGTAAATGTTTGCTGTTAGTTTTCCTACTACTCAGACTCTCACTTACTGGTGTCCTCTCTTTTAAAGACTTTATGTTTTTAGAGCAGTTTCAAGTTCACAACAAAATTGAGAGGAAGGTACAGAGATTTTCCATAGACTCCCTGCTCCCACACATAGGTAGCCTCCCCAATTATCAACATCAACCACCAGAGGGATATATTGTTACAATTTCTCAACCTACACTGGCATATCATAATCACCCAAAGTCCGTAGTTCAGGGATTACTCCTAGCATTGTATATGCTACGGGACTGGATAAATGCACAGTGCCATGTATCCACCATAAGAGTGTATCCACCATTATAATATCATACAGAATATTATAGTTTTGCTGCCTTAAAAATCCTCTGTGTTTTGCCTGTTTATCCTTCCCTCTTACAAACCCCTGGCAACTCTTTCTTACTTTTTTCTCTCCATAGTTTTGCCTTTTCTCAAATGTTATACAATTAGAATCACACAATATACAGCTTTTTCAGATTGGCTTCTTTCACTTAGTAATATGAATTTGTTTCCATGATGTATTTTTATACCTTGATACTGCATTCTTTTTTAGTGCTAAATAATATTTCATTGTCTAGATATACTACAGTTAATTTACCCGTCCACCTACTGAAGGACATTTTGGTTGCTTCAGAGTTTTAGCAATTACAAACAAAGCTACTATAAACGTCGACGTGCAAATTATTGTGTGGACATAAGTTTTCCACTCCTTTAGATAAATACCGCGAATCACAATTGCTAGATCAAATGGTAATGGTATGTTACGTTTTGTAAGGAACTGTCAAACTATCTCCCAAAGTAGATATACCGTTTTGCATTTCCACCAGTAACAAAAGGGAGTTCCTCTTTCTCTACCTCCTCACTAGCATTTCTAGTGTTATTGTTCTGAATTTCAACCATTCTAACAGGTGCATAGTCATATCTCATTAGTGTTTTAATATTCATTTCCTTGATGGCATATGATGTAGAGCATTTTAATATGCGTATTAGCCATCTGTATATATTTCTTGGTGAGGTATCTGTTAAGGTATTTGACCCATTTTTAATTGATTGTTTGTTTTCTTAATGTTGAGATTTAAGAGTTCTTTGTATATTTTGGATAACAGTCCTTTATCAGGCGTGTCTTTTAAAAATATTTTCTCCCACTCTGTGGCTTGTCTTCTCATTCTGACAGTGTCTTTTGCAGGGCAGAGATTTTTAATTTTAATGAAGTCTAGCTAATCCATCTTTCATGAATCATATTTTGATGTTGTATCTAAAAAGTCATGCTGACCATACACAAGATTTCTCCTATGTTATAGGAGTTACGAAATTTTGCATTTTACATTTAGGTCTATCATCCATTTTGAAGTTAATCATTCTGAAAGTGTAAGATCTGTGTCTAAATTCCCTTTTTGACATGTGGATGTCCAGTTGTTCCAGCATCACTTGTTAAAATCACTACCCTTTCTCCATTGTCAAAGACTGCCTCCATTGCCTTTGCTCCTCTGTCAAAGATCTGTTGCGTATATTTATGTGAGCCTTTTTTCTAGGTTCTTAATTCTATTCCATTGCTCTATTTGTCAGTTCTTTCACCAATACCACATTGTCTTAATTACTGTGGCTTTATAGTAAGTATTAAATTTGGGTAGTGTCAGTCCTCCAACTTTGTTCTTCTTGAGTATTTTGTTGACTATTACGGATCTTTTGCCTCTCCGTATAAACTTTATAGTCAGTTTATGATATCTACAATAATAATTTGCTGAGAGTTTTATTGGATTGCATTAAATCTTTAGAATAAGTTGGCAAAAATGGATGTCTTAATGATATTATGTCTTCCTATCCATTAACATGGAATACCTCTCCATTTACTTAGAGTTTCTTTGTTCTACCACCAGTTTTGTGGTTTTTTTCATATAGATCTTGTACGTATTTTGTTAAATGTATACTTCAGTGGTTCATTTTGGGTGGTGATAATATAAATGATATCGTTTTTAGTTTCGAGTTTCACTTGTTCATTGCTAATATATAAGATGGTGATTGAGTTGTACATATTAACCTAGTATCCAGCAACTTTGCTATAATCACTTATTAGCTGCAGGAATTCTTTGTCAATTTTTTTCAGATTTTCTTTATGGACAATCTCATTTGTAAAAGAGTGGTTAGGTTCCTAGAGAAACTTGAGCAGAATACTGACATGCAGAAACAACTGCCATGTTGATGGTTTCACATTCTTTAAACTGTAAGTGTGCTGTTAAAAAAAAAAAAAAAATCTCACAATGATGTGATTTACAAGATAAAAAGTTCTTTTACTGGTGTACAGTTAAGAAATTAAATTGAAGAACTTTCTCCATAACTAGTGAGAGTATTTAAAATGTTAAGCCCATAAATTAATGTTCTGGTTGTCCCTTTTAATCATCTGCTCAAGATGCTATTATACAGTATCATAGCTTGGGTGATTTAAACAATAGACATTTATTTCTCACAGTCCTGTATAGTGGCAAGTCCAAGATCAAGATGCTGCCTACTTAGGTTACTGGTGAAGAACCTCCTCCTGGCTCACAGATGGCCACCTTCTCACAGTATCCTTAAAGGTAGAGAGAGAGAGAGAGAGAGATTGAGAGAAAAAATACTACTCTCTTTCTAATAAGGACACAAGGACACCAATTGCATCATGCAGGCCCTACTATCATGAACTCAGCTAACCCTAAGTAGCTTCCAAAGGCTACAACTCCAAAGACAGTCACAATGAAATGAAGGCTTCAGTAAATAAATTTTGGGTGGAGAAATAATTCAACCCATATCACCCCAAAGATATTTATATGTTATGTATGTATAACTTGCTTCACTTCTTTTTTAATACAAAACTCTTTACTTCTCATTTTTCTGTCTGTTTTTGAAGACAACAAAATAACTTCTTTAAATCACTTTACTTTTAAGCATACTTAAGTTTTAAAAATAAATTTTGCTGAAAACAGTGGGTAGTAATAATAATAGCTAACATTTATTGATACTTGCCAATGGCATAGGCAGAGGCAATGTTCTAAGAGCTTTCAGGTATTGAACGTATTTAATTCTCATGAAAACTCTATCAGGTACCAATATTATTTTCATTTTACAGAAAAGAAGACTGTTTCTAAGACAGTCTAAATAGCTTGTTCAGAAACACGTAAGGGGCCAAATTTAGAAGCTATGCAGCCTGGTTCCAGATCACATACTCCTACTCATACACCTATAATGTAACTATACTGTTACAACATTAGATAATAAACACTTTGTCCTGTTTTAAGACTACAAATTTAAAGGATAATTGGAAAAGTTTCTCTTGCCTAGAGAAAAATACAATTTTTTAAGATAATGCGTCATAACTATGTGTATTATGCTTACTGAAATAGTTTATATTTGTACTTCCTTGAATCAATGTATACTAAATGTGCTTCAAAAGATATCTGTAGAAACCTCTCCTTAGACATCAAATGATAGGCAATAACTGGATGTATATCTGATGGAAGTATTTTCCCTCATATTCAATTAATATTTTAAATTATGTGCTATGCTTAACTATAACATATCAAAAATAATTGAAAACTATTTTTATTGTACAATTAATAAAATATTACAGACTTGTAAAATCTATGATAAATCATTTTTATTTACAACTGTCAGGCATTGGTGACATTTAGTAATGTAGTATGCATAACATACAATTGCTTTTTAGTCTTTAATAGGTTAATCTCTTCTCACAGACACATTGCAGGCACAAACTCACCTTAGCTGCTTTAGCATACTCACTTTACATTTGATTTGTCTAACTCAAAGGTCTTTACATAACAACAACAACAACAACAAATCTACTCATGTAAATTTACTCTTCCAAGTAAAATAGTATAACAAACATATGGGTTACATAGTCCATACCAGATGGTGCAGGCCTGTGCTCACATAGTTTGTGCATAGAGAACAAGATAAAGCACAGTGTTGTAAATCTTCATTTGTATCCTGTCTGGAACAGAAGTTTTTATTGTTCCATCAAACTGTCCAATCTATTACTAAGATCTGTCACATTTTCTTTTATAACAATTCTTTTATTTATAGTGAAAAATTTCTACCAGTTTTCTGTCATTTGAATCACTGCCATGTGATCCTCATGATCTGCCTTAAAAGAAGCCCACAACATTATCGTTTAATTTCTTCTTCAGCCATAATTGTCATCCTATCCTAAAATCACATACCTTATTTATAGATACAGGACAACTTTTTCACCCTTGTATTTTCCCACCATAAATGTTGCTGCTTGGATTGTACTAACTAAACAATAGACAAACTACTTTTAATGTCATTGGTTCCAGATTGGGAAGTTTTCTGGGCTGTTCTTGGCAAGGATGGTGACGACAGATGCTAAAAAGCTGATATTCAGAAGCTGGACATTAGATGCTATAAGGAAAGTGCACTGAGTCTGTATCAGACCAGAATGTGAGTATCTTGCCATGTGCAGGTACCACTCCATCTGTAAGAGGAAAGAAAGGTAAACAAAACTCAATAATATCACATTCAACCAGAGTCTAAAGATAAATATTTTAAATAAATTTAAATGTGGATTCATTGATAGAAAAGACTGGTCTCAAGATCTTTTCTTTCAAAAAGTGTATATATGTGACAGCAATTTAGATAGCTAAATATTAGTTAGGTTAAATTATATGATATTACCATTTTAGTAGGTCAAAAAGATCAAGTATCAGCAGTTTCATAAGGTTATGCCTAACACTGAGGTTATAAAAATACAATGACCCTAATTGTTATTGAAAATAATGAGGACCATTGTTATGGAAATAGATTGCGAAAACAGCAAGACACAGTATCTAATGTCACATCATCAAACTCATTTGTCAGGATAAGGTGCCATGCATTACCTTATTTTTCAGCTATTGCTTACATCTCACAGTTCCCAGAAGACTGTCACAGAGAAGATTAAAAAGTGGCAATATAAATCACAACTTCTCCTATCTAATACCATAGTTTTCAAACATTATGCTGACAAATGATGAGAGTATTATAAACTCTTCAGCTCAATAATCCAACACTCCACCAGTAGTTAGCAAAAATAGGGTGAAATAAAACACACTCAGAAACAAATGCCAAGGTTAAAAATACTGCTTCCAAGTCTATAAACTTATTACATGCTATTAGAAAGTGCCAACAGTTTTCCGTTCCCAGTACTTTCATTTTACTTTAAATCGATTGGAATTACCACATTAAATCTGTGCCTTTGAGAGCTCAGCATGGGAATAAGCAGTCAGATTAAACACAGTACGGTCGGCAAACTCACACAATATAATTATTTGTTCTTGTCATTCTAAACTCTTCCCTCGAATGCCCATGTCTTCCTGCAGAAAGGCCAATGATTTTTTAAAAATATCCCAATCCACTGTTTCCAGTTACATTTAGAGATTTACAAGTCCCATAGCATACCTTAAAAAATAATGCCAACTTCAATGGGGAAAATACGGTCGTTAGGATATATGTTGATGAGTTGAATCAATCTAATCAATCAATCAATCAAAGGCACTCCTCCACATTTTCTCCCCGAATACAGATGTCTTTAGTTTCTTATAATAATCGTTCTTTAAAATTCAGTAACTTTGAGTTTTCAGTCCTAAATTAGATAACCATCATGTTTTAAAAGATGAATTAGCTAAAAGATGCTATTAGAGTAAGGATTTAAAGAAAAATTTAAAGGATTTAAAGGAACACACTGTTTTCAAAGCACTGCATTATGTGCTACGAAGAAAACAAAAATTACAAAACTTTTTCCCTCAAAGAGTTTACATTCTAATTTTAGAGACAAGATATGAATGTTTCTGTGGGTTTTCTTAAATAAATTTACTTTAAATGGCATGTTAAGATAGCAAGTAAGAGAAGTGTCACGAGGCAGTACATAATTGTCATACATGTATAATACAAATGCTAATTAATGTTAGAATTCAGGGAGGGAAAGACCACTCCAGGAAATCCTTGTGCATGAAGTGGGAGTTTTTGCTTCTTTTATAGTATCATTGGTGTTTAGATGAGGAAAAGAGAGAGCAATTGCTTTCATTCTGGGTCCTGTGGGCTTGGGCTGGTTAGATCTTGAAAACGAGAGAAAATAGAAAGCCTTTGTGTCTACCCAAAATTCATATGTGAGAATCCAAACCCTTCAGCATTAGGAGGTAGGACCTTTGGGAACTGATTAGATCACAAAGGTAGAGACCTCATGATGGGGATTAATGCCCTCATACAAGAGAACAGAGAGATCTAGTTAGCCCCTTCCTCTATGTAAGGACACAGTAAGAAGACACCATCTATGAACCAGACAGGGAGCCCTTTCCAGACAATGAATCTTCTGGTGCCTTGATCTTGAACTTCCCAGCCTCTAGGACTGTAAAAAATAACATTTTTCTTGTTTATAAGCAATGTAGTTTATGTTATTTTGTTATAGTCGACCAAACAGACTGAAACAGTGCTCAAAGAAAATGAATAATTTGTTCAAGTTCATAAGATAAAACTTAAAATCTGGAACCTTAAGCCAAGTCTTCCTGCAGAAAGGCCAATGCTTTTTAAAAAATATCAAAGCAATCCACTGTTTCCAATTACATTTAGAGATTTACAGTTCCCATAGCATACCTTAAAAAATAATGCCAACTTCAGTGGGGAAAATACAGTCGTTAGGATATATGTTGATGAGTTGAATCAATCTAATCAATCAGTCAGTCAAAGGCATTCCTCCACATTTTCTCACCAGATACAGATGTCTTTAGTTTCTTATAATAATCACTCTGTAAAATTCAGTAACTTTGAGTTTTCAGTCCTAAATTAGATAACCATCATGTTTTAAAAGATGAATTAGCTAAAAGATGCTATTAGAATAAGGATTGAAAGAAACATATTGATTTGGGCATGCATGGGTGCGTCTTTAAAAGCTCTAATATTCTTTTGGCTTATTTAAAATAAAGTTTTATATTTAAAGACTTCCAAAGTCAGCTCTAGTTATGCCAAAAACTGTAAAATGTCTGAGACTGCATTCTCTTGTTAGTCAACAAGTCACTCTGTCGCAGTTTCATGAATGTTGTTAGAATACCTGAGACTCCTAGATGAGAAATGAACAGTTTTTTTACCCACATCAATAGCAGTAGCCACAGTATCAGCATTTTGGGGCTGGTTGCCCAAGCCTCAATTAACACAGAGTAACGTGAAGAGAGACAGATGACACAAGCCCATGCAATGGGTTGTGTTACAGGAAAGGAACCCGAGCTTAGAGAATCAGGAGCTTTAATGATGGCAGTAATTGTGTTTATCATTTGCTCCAGAGACGTTTTTATTGTACTAGATAGTAAGCATGGCTGTACTTTGATCTAAAGAGAGATCCTTTCTGTCTTCCAAGGTATGATGCCAACATCCAGAAGAAAGGGCAGTCAAAGTTTTGCTTATAAGGTGTAACCCATAGAGAATTGTCTCTCAACAGATTGATCCGCACCTGCTTCAAGCTGCCTGCTAGATTGTTCCAAAATTTTGTTTTATGAGTTGAACTGTTTAGTCAAGAATCTAACTACCTCATATGTTCCTTAGTTGCATGTGATTTTACTGGGAATGTAATTTATGTTATTCTCTCCATGGAATTTCATTGAAAAGAAAAGTCAAACTGCCAAGATAAACATGAATTTAATCTGTTTGCTGAAACTATTCCTCCTCAAAAACAGAAACATTGCGTCTTTCCTGAAAGTTCAAACCTCACTCAGGTTCTAGGGTCAACACAAGTCCCACCTCAGTCCTCAAGTGATCCCATGTTGATTCAACCTTGCTACACGCTTTCTTGTTCCCTAAGATGTCGACCTTGATAACTGCGCCAGTAGATCTGTTTTTCTCAGTCTGAGATTTTGTTTTGTTCCTCCAGAAACTCCAAGACCTAAGTCCTGGACTTATACCCATCTCAGTGTCTGGGTCATGCTCCAGCTGTGAGAATGTTATAACTGACTAGTTGCCTCCATTGTCATCATGTTTATCCTACTGCCACTCTCCTTGGCCCTTTGCCCACCCTCTTTTTGGTTAATGTCTTCTGTTTGGGCATTAACCAAATTCCTTTGCAAGATTTTTTTAATCACTTATTTGAGATACCAGCTTTCTACTATCACCACACTCCCCATTCATTTGTTTATTCAACAAGTAGTTCCTAAAGGACAACTAAGCTGCAGATCTGAGCCAGGATGTGATTTTGCAATGGAATCCCAAAATACTATAACTGACTGATCCTGATTACCTGACTAGTACTGTCTATTATCTACTGCTGATGAGATTTCAAGCTCCTGCCCTGAGCAGTGTCTGTGCTCTTGGTCTGGTACTAGACCTTAAAAGTCCACTCTGAGAAATATCATGCTTTGTTAGTACCAGATCCTCCCTTAAATTCCCAATTTCTTTCATAATTTTCTGTTTGAAAGACTTTGTTTGTTCTGAACATTTTAATAGCACTGAATGTTGTAACCCTTAGTTAAATTTCTCATAACAGTTTTCTTATACAATATTAAATTAGAGAGATCATGATGTCATTTGCCATACTATCCTCAGTTCACAGTTATTATAAGGTGTTGTCACTTACAAAAATCTAGCATTTCCACCTGTACAATGCAAAAAAACTGTTTTCCAATATTAAGGTCTTCTAATATTTTGAAGTTAGATTAAATTTTCATTAAGGCTTCATTCATTCTTATAAAATTCCACAAATGGAACTATCTACATCCTCATAAGTCTCCTCTTGTTTACAAAACAGTACTATACAGCTATCTGATTTAAAATCCTTTTGTTTCTAAAACAGCTTCCCTTCTCAGGTTGTATATGTATATATTTAAGAGTGTAAGTTTGTGTGTGTGTGTGTTCCCTCTGATATGGGTTTATATGCTTCACTGCCAAAGTAATACTTTCCAATTTCTAATCATCTTTAAAGGAAAAAAAGTTATTTACTTGGAAATATTCACAGTTTAGAAAAATCTGAGCCCTAAGTCTAACAAAATGTTGGACTGTAAACCCAATAACATAAAATAAACTCCAAAACACGTGCAAATATAGTCAATATATACCTAACATAGTGTGGACAATATATACCCTCTTTATAATAGGTTATCTGATCTGCACAGGTCAATGATTAGAAAAATAAAATCCTCATCACATGAACCACAATTAAAGCTATTTTGTTTACTAGTTACAGAAATTGGCAAAGATCATCATAACCTCATGGTAGTTCAATCCTGCCAGAAAAGCACAAAGCCAAATAATCAGGAAACAACTTCTGTTTTAAACCATTCAGGGTGCCAAGACAAAGTACCATAGACTGGGTGGCTTATAGATAGCAGAAATGTATTTCTCACACTTCTGGAGGCAGGAAGACCAAGATCAGGACACCAGCATGGTTGCATTCTGGTGAAGATCCTCTTCCAGGTTTCAGACCGCCATTATCCCATTGTATACTCACATAAAGGAAGA